AACCATGCATGTACATCCAGCCCCAACTGTGTGATGCTGTTGTATCATTATGGACTAAATCTCTGATATATTCACTTCATCTTCACTTACATAACGCCAGCTCACAGTCACCACATCGTAGCTAAAAAACCCCAACAATCAGACAACCTGCTATCAGCAAGCCCTTGGTGAGTCCACCTATCTATGCATTGAATTCAGTGCCACAGGGGGAGAGCCAGGTACACTGTGGACAGGCTGTCAGTCTGTCACAGGGCTAACACAGAGAAATAACCAGGTGCTCAGCACTGATGCCTCGCAGCAAGAAGGTCCTGGTTGGAATCCACCATCTGTGTGGAGCTTGTATGTTTTCCTCGCTTCTTTCCGACTGATGTGGCTTTCTCCCACAGTCCAAGATGAGCAGTTATTGGAGGTTAACTGGTGATTGTAATTGCATACATGTGTGAATGTGAGTGGTTTGTCTGTCTCAACTCAGGGGCAGCCATCTGCCACGAAAAGGAAGACTTTGAAATTGTTTCATTACCACCACCTTAAAGCCTTTAATAAGGATAAACTGGTCATATTTCAAACTGTGAGGCTCTTCTGTCCTGTCTCTGCTCTCTCCCTCACTTACCAGCAGGTCGCACTGGATGGCTGCCACACCTGAGCCTGGTTCTGATCAACTTCCTGTTTAAAGGCTGTTTTTCCCTCCTACCTTTGCCGACTGTTAGCTTATTACAATAAAGCGCCTTGTTGTGAATTGGCACTATAGAAGCAAAACGGAATTGAATTAAAATGTGTCTGACACGACTGTGAGTGTGAGAAGACGATGCAGGGTTTTGAAATTCACACCAAAGGTGCCGCTACTCAAAGTTTGAATTTCAGTGAGCTCAGCCTCAAGGTCAGAGGTCAAGCTTTCTGAAACTCTTGTGACTGTGATAACTGAAGCAGGAAGTCACCAAGGACATTCAAATGTAACTGTACGCACAGCTACGTGGAGGCTGAGGGGTAGCACCTGTTCACACACTCACACAGTGTGATAGATGCATCCAGGGCAAGTGTAAGAGTCAGGGTGAAAGAGTGTGTGTGTTTGTGTGTGTCTATGAGGCTTATAGTAAGAAAGTATTAAAGCTGTGTATATGTACCACTGTGTTCACTGTTAAGAATTAAAATGGTTCTGAGGGTGGGAGGAGATTCAACTCAATAATGGTATGGATGATGATAATGAAGTCGCACATAGTGTAATATACCTTTAGATCTGAGAAAACGAAACTCTTTTACTGGGACATTTACTGGGATATTTGCTTTGGCTGTTTCTAAAATGAAGTGTGGCTATCTAAGTCACCACTGTCAACACGACACATTCTTACTCCGCTAAAAGCACTTACAGAGTTGCACTTACAGAGCTGCACTACAGAGTGGTCCACTGATCTGCACTTACAGAGCTGCACTTACAGAGCTGCACTTACAGAGCTGCACTTACAGAGCTGCACTTACAGAGCTGCACTACAGAGCTGCACTACGGAGTGGTCCACTGATCTGCACTTACAGAGCTGCACTACAGAGCTGCAATTACAGAGCTACAATTACAGAGCTGCACTTACAGAGCTGCACTTACAGAGCTGCATTACAAAGCTGCATTACAAAGCTGCACTTACAGAGCTGCACTATAGAGCGGTCCACTGATCTGCACTACAGAGCTGCACTACAGAGCGGTCCACTGATCTGCACTACAGAGCTGCACTACAGAGTGGTCCACTGATCTGCACTTACAGAGCTGCACTTACAGAGCTGCACTACAAAGCTACACTTACGGAGCTGCACTTACAGAGCTGCACTTACAGAGCTGCACTTACAGAGCTGCACTACAGAGTGGTCCACTGATCTGCACTTACAGAGCTGCACTACAGAGCTGCACTTACAGAGCTGCACCACAGAGCTGCACCACAGAGCTACACTTGCAGAGCTGCACTACAGAGCGGTCCACTGATCTGAATGCCAGCCCACATCACCGATGGCTCAGCTGCTCCATTTATAGTTGGGGAAACATGTCCAGGCCACACCGCAGCTTTCATTTCCCTAATGGAGACAGCTGTGTGAATTACAGCTGGTAGTGTACACCTGTAAGTATGTGCATTAGCTTAGTGCTCAGCTACAACTGTGACTTAGATGGACATGAGACAAATTTGAGGAAACGATGCAGACATAAACTTGAGCAACACGTTTGTATTTGGCTGTTTCTAAAATGAAGTGTGGCTATCTAAGTCACCACTGTCAACACGACACATTCTTACTCAGCTAAGGCGTGGACATAGCGTAAAAGAGTTCATAGTTTATTTTATTACTACCTGTAATTTATTGCAGATTACTTGTATTTGCTTAATTGTTTACTAAATGTTTGAGGTGTGAAATAAACCGCAATAGAGCAAAATATGGGTGTGTGTGGTTGGAAGATGTGTTTGTGCGGGGGGGGGACATTTTTGTTGTAAAACAAAGGGGGGCCTAGCAAAAAAAGTTTGGGAACCACTGCACTAATCAAACCTTTGAGTTCAAGTTTTGGCCAAACTGAACCCCAGAGGCTCCTCAGTTCCTGTGAAACCTGTTTGTGTGCTGTGATGATGGTAAATCTGGCTCGATTCATTCATATGAACTTCTGGATCAGTTCTGCAATGAAACACACAAAAATGCAATTCACAGCTGAGGTTAGTAAGGTTAGTATTGAAGAATTGAAGAGTATTGAAGAATAACCTAATGTAACCTAATAACCACTGATCTCAGCCCACATCAGCTGATGGCTCAGCTGCACGTTTCCACAGAGGATGTGTTTTTGAGCTGTGTTAGCCTCCACACTGCTGGTTCGTTTGATCCTTCCATCCTTGTAAGACGATATCCATGACATGATGTCAGAAAAACAAAAACCACTGTGCAGATGAATCAGGAGCTGGCTGAATGCTTTATGTGTTTGTTTCTTCCACTAACGAAGGAATAATCTCAGGTGGAACTTTATAAACTGTGGATTAGGAGCAGCTGGGTAAAAAAAAAGCAGTCCCTTAGCAACACTACCGCCTTCTCCCTACTGCAGCAACAGGCTGTTTACTCGTGCGTGCGCGTGCGTGCGTGTGTGTGTGTGTGTGTGCGCGTGTGTGTGTGTGTGTGTGTGTACACATGTGTGGTTGTGTTGGCCAATGGAAGGGAGCGGGGCATGGTTAAGCTCTTGCCGAGGGGAGGCCTCTTGCTGGGAAAGGCCAAGATGTTTTCTCGCTGCAGACACGGAGCAGGGGGCTTTGAAGTTAAAACAATAGACACGTTCACTGGTCCTCTCCCTGCTCCACCAGGTGGGTGGGAGTCTCACTTTAAGGGCCACCGCTTTGTCAGATAGCTTGCAGATCCCACCCACAGAGAGCACCAGGACAAGTGAATGAAACGCTATAGTGTCTTTGAGTGTGCAGACTGGAATATTGATGAAGCAAATATTTTCTCTCCATCTGATCTCATGTGAAGGACTCGCACTGTAGGAGTAGGTCAAGCAACAATAACGCCATTAGATTTAGAAAGTGGGCTTTTTTGTTTTCAAGTTTCAGGGAGAACGAGGAGGCAGAGTGAAAGACCACAGAGGGGGAAACACAAAGGAGAGTGGAGAAGGTTTGGGAGACGACCAAAACAAACAGTGTGTTCAACCAATGTAAATGGTTCTTTTTGCTGACTTGGAAAACGTGAAAGCGTTACCAGATGGAGACGAAGAGGAGAGAGTGCAGAAAGAGCCGTGGACACACTGATCCACAGAGCGATCCACAGTGTGATCCACAGACCTGCAGTCTTTCTAATGAATCCTCCAAAAACAAACCTGATGTCATACGTCAGCATTTTCCTTTAAAATTATTTTCAGCAGCACGACGTTTATCCCAATCAGAGTAAGAACAGCAGGGCATGTTTCAGATCTCTGTTACGCTGGTGTGGGCACTCTTCTGTCCACACACTCCCCACCCTGCTGCAGCCTTCACCTTATAGGACAGGCCGGCACATGGACAAATGCCAAACTTTAGGCATCAAAGTCAACAAGTGGCTCAGGCCACTTCATTAGGTAAACCTTGATATTAACAGCTTGGACCTCGCTTCATCCTCACAACTCTGCTAATTCTTTGTGCATTGCTCAGATGTGTTGGTCCATATTTACATGATAGCATCACACAGATGCTACAGAGTCGTCATGGTACACATTTCAAATTTGGTCATTGTGGAATCCATTTGAAAGGTTCAAGCCAGTTTAAACTAGTTCAGGCTGATCTGAGCTGTGCCAAAAAACTGTCTTCCACACCACATTACACCAAGTGCTGCTACAAGGAAGAATGGATCCATGCTTTATGCTGATTAGCATTTTGTGACCATTGTAGCAGAAATGGAGACTCAGCAGACTAGGCAGCGTTTTTCTAATCTTCTATTGTCCAGTGTTGGTGAGCTTATGTGAACTGTAGCCTCAGTTTCCTGTTCTTAGCTGACAGGGGGGGCATACACTGTGGTCTGTGCATTCTGCTCTGACCTCTGGCATCAACAATTTGTGCCGAGAGAACCGCCGCTCACTCATATTTTCTTTTTTCCCTCAACCATTCTCTAAAACCAGAAAGATGATTGTGTGGAAAATCCCAGAAGAGCTACACTTTCTGAATTACTGAGTCAATCACCTTGCTACATTCTATCATTTCAATCATTTCTTAAAGCAAATTTAGTGGTATTTGTATCAGTAGGTACGTTCTACTGATACCTGCACTGATTGCCAAGAAAATGAAAACAGAACCATAACTCAGTGGGTACAGAGCCTGAAAATGTTCTAAACAATGGTCTGCAATTCAACATGGACATTCCCCCACCCCTCCAAAAAACATCATTTTACTTCCTTTAGATTCCAAACCTGGAAAAAGATGTGGTGACGCTCACCTGAGAGACGCCAGGAGCAAACCTGGTTTACTCTCAGTAGCTCTGTGGTAAAACAAGTCCTCTAATTGTTCTTTCCATCCTTCTCTCCTCAGGGACGTCATCAAGAGAATAGACCAGTCCGAGTTTGAGGGATTTGAATACATCAACCCCCTGCTGCTAGCCACAGAAGAGTCTGTATGAAGGAGAAACCAGCGTCCTCCTCCGAGCTGCTGTTCAAAAACAGAAACAAACAAACAAACTTGCAAGCCAACTCAACTCAGAAAGGCGACAACAAGGAGGAAGTTCCCCCTGGACCTGTCCACAAGGCAAACGGGAGGAGGGAGAGTTTTTCCCTGGGGAGCCGGACGCCGGACTACAGGAACATTCCCTGACTTTATGCTGTCTTCTCCTTTTCTTTGTTTGGTCCTGTTGTCCCTGTCAGTCCATCCTCGTGTCAGAGCAGGACTGGCTGTGTGAGCGTTTCATTCTGTGCCTGCCACCATCAACACGTTTCAGCCCATCTCACGCCCTGGATGAATACGACGGCTCTACGGAACAACTTTAAATAATTTTACGTGCAATTTTTTATTCTTCTTTTTTTTTTCTATCTTGGTAGGGGGGCCACGCCTCACACACACAAGAATGTACAATGACAAAGGAGAAAATGTTGTTATTGTGTATTATGATGTAGCTAGTGAATCCAAAATTGATGATGCCTTTTATTGATGCAAGCGGCACATGTTCCTCCATAACCACAAACTTTTCTTTGTGTTCTGTTGTTTTCACAAACAAGGGGGTGACAACTTTTTATTTAAGAAGTGCCTCAAAGATCAAATGATTTCCCGTGTCTCTGACTGCACCTCTATCTGTTCACCTGTTACGGCTGCAGCAGGTAACGCAGCTGAAACTCTGCCAGGGTATGTCCGAACTCTCGTCCAGCGTATGGAGCTCGCTAAGCTGCCTCAGTCCCCACACACAAACAAACCTTCTTATTTTTAACGAATCGTTCAAATAATCAACATTTCCTGTGAATGTGTAATTGACACAAGCAGCTGGGAGGAGACCTGACCTCTTTCCTTACACATGTGTAATTGTAATATTTCCCAGTGAAGGTCCGCGTTATCGTCACATAGGTGAGGAGCAGCAGACAGACTTGGCCCATGCCTGCTGTCAGACGTTGGCTTCAGCTTCCACAGTAAATGCAGCTTTGGGTTCCTCCTCACCAGGTGCTGCTGCGTGACCATCTGTGTGACCTGCTGGGGGAAACTGGTCACCGTTTCCTTTATGTGCTCACTGTGTGGTTCCATGTCTACAGTGACCTGCTGCAACGACAGCTGGAAATCTGTTTGCAAGTCTAAATGAAATGGGAGAACAGCAGAAAAGCCATGAGAGCTTTTCCGTGGTTTTCACAGACATTAGTGGGTCTTCCCTGTGTGGGGGAACAAAGCTTTTTTGGGTTAAATTCCAGGTGTGTTACTTTGGAGTTTGTCTCGACGCCCAGTCAATCTCAGCAAAGGCCGCCCTCCCTGAGCCTGGTTCTGGCAGAGGTCTGTTCCCATTAAACAGGCGTTCTTCCTCCCTACTGTTGCCAAGCTCTGTTTATAGAGGATCATCTGATTGTTGAGGACTATGCCTACAGTACTAGAGATACTGTAAAAAAGTGCCCTGAGACAACTGCTGGGGCGCTAAAGAAAGAAAAGTGGGTCATTCCCAGTCTCAGCTGTAATGTTGTGGATGAGTGTTAGTCAGGGGTTGGAGGATTAGGTCACTATTATAATTCATGCCCTCCATCATGCAGCTGCTGGTGCACAACAGCTATAAAACCAGTACGAAGCCATGAGTTTGTCTTTACTATATAATGAAGTTTTCAGGACACTTTAACTCTGTATACTGCCTCCTTTTATACACAGCAAGCAACATATCAGTACCTAACTGAAGCTTTGATGTTTTAATGCTGGGACATCAGTGAGCACACATTCATGTCTCCAACACAACTCAGTGCTTCTGATGCAGGCTGTGTGTATCTGCATACATGCTCTTCTGAGGGAGGAGAAGCTCTCAGTTAGCTGTTTGTGATTAAACTTGACCCACGCTAATTTAATACCCTCATAATAGGATTAATTAGCTGATCAGTCACAGGGCCTCAATTAGCTGCAGGCCCTGTACAGGCAGGGAGACGGCGTAATGAAGTTCCAGTCACAATGAAAATACACACCTCTAATCTAAAGAAGCATCCTCCTCCTCCAACCCCGACACTCCATCTCACAGACTGTATTTTATTACCTGCACACAGGTGATACATTAGTGATGCTGTTTTTCCCCTTAAGGGACCAATGGATAAACTGGAAGCTCTTGACTCCACCTTACAGAACATGAAGGCCGCTCAAACCCCATGAAGGATTATTGAACTACAGTTCTGCTTTTACATAATGCTGGCCAGGTCTGCTTCATTTAGCTTCATCGCATCTTTGTAAATATGTGTAATTATTAAAAATCAAACTGGTTTTCTGTGAACCGAGTCCTTTTTTCTCTCACTGACGTCCTTTATTTGTGCCGACAACAGCAGGAAGATCTGTGCAGATGCTATAGATTTCTATGCGAGTGAACACTTGGGCTCATACAGCTCCTCTGATCAGCCCTCAGCTCTGTTCATGCAGAGAAGCACAGTCACCCTGAACCTAACGATACTGGGCTCAGTCACACTCGGTGAAAAATGATTTGCCCCTTCCTGATTTAACAAATAATTTAATATTAGACAAATAATCTGAGTATTATATTATTTATTTATTAAGATCTGCCTTTTGTGAAAAGGCAGGTTTGCATAAGTGGTTGAACATTAGCTGTGGTGTCCCACAAGGTTCAGTATTGGGTCCCAGACTGTTTCCTGTGTGTATCACTGACATGTGTAGAGTGACAGACATACTGAGGTTTGTTGTGTTGCACATGATACAGCCGTTCTTGGAGGTTGTCAGTGAAGAAACTGATAAATGTTGGTTTGATCAAAAAGAAGTTCTCTTTGAATTTATCCCAAACCAAATTTATGTTGTTTGTAAATTAAATTGAGAAATGTATATAAATGTGGAACTAGATGTTGATAAGGTATCCACTGAAAAGGTCTTTCCTATATGGGAACCACATAACAAACAGGTGTGTAACGAGATGGCAAACACCGTCGGGATTTTGGGAAAACCAAGGCTCATCCTAACCAATGAAAGACTGCACACACTGTTACTGCCATATTTATATTATTGTGGTGAACTCTGGATGTTCCCCACAAAACATATGCACAATGCAAAAAGAGCAGTAAGGATCATACATCATGTACATTTGTCCAGTAAAAGCACTGCTTGCACCTGCTCCCTGGGACTATAGATACAGCAGCTGGAAATCCAGGCAGCAAGAATCAGGACTGAATGAGAATAGTCAGGCTCATGTGTTACACTGCAGTCACACCATCAATGCAGAGAAATGAAGAACGTGACATTGTAGAACTGCATTAGATAGCTGCAGAGTATACCAGGGTGGGTGACCTTGCGAGCACAGCTCTACTTGTGTGGGTGTACGTGCACTGCAGTGCCGTCATGAATGAAGCCGACCGGATCATCTTGAACTCAAAGCTAATAAAGATTACAGTTACTTTTACAAGAAAAAAAAGACACACAGGTTACAGTGTCTGTTACTGAGTTTTAAAGTAAAGTGTACACTCAGTACGACTAATCAGCCATGAAAACATGGTGTGCTCGTGCACCGAAGAAGTTTCCTCATCTCACTGCAGCTCAGTCAGCAGAGTTCTCTGCACAGGCTGCTGTCTGCACCGTCGTCCTCCGTGCGATACGACCCCGGAGCAGCAACCGGGCGCCTTGTAGACCGTCGGCATCGATTCAGCTTACCAGGTCATGTCCACATTCATTTCAGACAGACAGTGGGCCAGGTGACCATCGCAGTCCATCTGGGTGAACCTGGAGAACCAAGAACAACTAGACTGTACTGGATGTGGTGAACTGGACCTGACTGAACCCTGGACCTCTCCATCTGTGGGCACCACTTATGCAGCAGAATCTGGACAACTGTTTGTTTGGACCTTGTGCTGAAACTGCACTGCACCTCAGACAGCATATAAACATTTTTATATTTATGTAATTATGTCATGTTGATTCTGACATGAAAGCAGAGGTCACGGGATGATGCTATGCAAGACCTGCACAATAAAAACATATATGGAAGTTCTGCTGTAAGGTAATGTTGATCCTTTGGAGGCTGGGCAGTCAGCTTTGTGATGCTGTCACTTTTAAACCTCTAGAACATAGGTGTCAAACTCTGGCCCGCGGGCAAAATTTTAATTATTATTAGAGCTGGCCTACTGGTATTATACAGCTAATATATATATATTGTCTAGTATTAAGCTTTGCTTGTTCCATATTCAGTTTTTCAGCAAAACTTGTTTGAGTCCATAAGAAAAGATTCATTCTTATATCTGAAGGAATAAATATATTTCAATAAATATTAACGTTAGCCCGCGACTTTGTTCCAGTTTTGAATTTTGGCCCATTGTGTATTTGAGTTTGACACCCCGACTCTAAAACTTAAACTAGTTTGTTTACTTGTCGTTATCCATTTAACTAACAAGAGCTACACACACTGAAAACATCTAACTGGTGACCAGCTTCAGCTGGATGCCATCTGGCTGGTCGCTGATGTCATAAAGAATCATTAAAAAATAAATTAATAAAAATCAGCAACAACGCACAAAGGAAAAAAGTCCCTATGCTGATGTGAATGAAGAAAGAAAACACCCAATCAGTTCTTACCCAGCAGGGAACACTTGGAGACACATGGGACAACTCTGCAGTCCTCCCCCTGCTCCTCCATCTGCTCCTCTTCCTCCATCTTTTTTGCCGCACCCCTGCACCTCCTCTTCCTTTTTAGCTTCGACCTCATTCTGCAGAGGAACTCTGTCAGATACCTTCACCCAGTATGTTGGAAGCTTCCTACTGACTGGTCCAGTCGCTTTCCTCCCCTCCTCCTTCCCAGCACTGGAAAATCCTGGTGATGGCAGCGCCTCCACCCAGCTGTGCAGGGACGGCCGCCGTGTTTTGCTGAGGGTTTGAGGAGAGTGAGTGGAGCTCTCCATGCTGTGGGAGCACGGGCCTCTGACAGGTGGCTCTGGCACCGTGCTGGTGTGTGCTGTGGGGTCCTCCGGGGAGGAGCTGAGCCCGACAGGATCTGGGATCTGTGACGGTCTCAGAGAAAGATGAGACGGTTCAGGGAAGGTAGAAACCTCACTGCTGAGGTCGCACCACCCCTGTTCCTCCACCCAAAGTCCCGCAGGTCTCTAAAAACAAGGAGAAAACAGGAATAAGGGTCTGACAACGGGTGTGTGGAACTTCAGCCAGTCATGCGGAGCGTGCTGTGGACAGTTGATCTTTGGATGATTACATGAATACACAGGTGTGTGTGTGTCATGTAAATGTTCCTCACCAATGGAAATAGGCCAGCAGCTCTAACATTATAGAAAAAAAAATTACAATTAGTTGTTTAGGTGTCATTTTGAATGTTTTAACCAACCAAAAGTCCAAAGATATTAGTTTCATCATGATCTACAAAAGAAGTTACATTTCCCTATATCCCCTTCAAAAAGGAAAAAAAAGACTTTATTCTATAGTGTCAGTGTTTAACTAAATGTTGGTTCAACCTCAAGGGCTCAAAAATGAGACAGAAGTGCCAAACAAATACGCTTGCTCTAACGGCCACCCTGGAGAGCAGCTCTGCAGGTCCTCCATCTTCTGATGTCCAACTTTACAGCTGAACTAAGGATGTTTAGTGCCTGGTGTTTCTCAAAGTCAGGGGTGTGGTTTCCCCCTGGTAACAAGTGTTACTATACTTTGGAAGGAAGGGGCACAGCAGCTTTAATATAAGCTATCATCCATCCTTTAACTTCACTGATTGGACCTTTTGAACATTTGAATAGATTTAGCATTTTAATCTGACTCTTGGTGTACGAGAACCACCCCCTAATCAACTTCATACACAACCAGGAATCCCACACTTCTCAATAAAGGGGTTGATATAGTTGTTCTTGGAAAAATTCAGTTTTCATAATACAGTGCTTAAAAACATCCTCCTTCCAACACTCAACAGCAATATTGCCCAAACTGGATGAGTTCCTCTCTTTGGGAATCTAAACCTCCTCCACTGGTTGCTGACCTTCCCATCAAGTCATCTTTAAGGTCTTCCATACATGCTGAAGAAGCTCTGGGCAACATTTGTAGACCTAACATACAGTGGGGCAAAAAAGTATTTAGTCAGCCACCGATTGTGCAAGTTCCCCCACTTAAAATGATGACAGAGGTCAGTAATTTGCACCAGAGGTACACTTCAACTGTGAGAGACAGAATGTGAAAAAAAAATCCATGAATCCACATGGTAGGATTTGTAAAGAATTTATTCGTAAATTAGGGTGGAAAATAAGTATTTGGTCACCTCAAACAAGGAAAATCTCTGGCTCTCACAGACCTGTAACGTCTTCTGTAAGAAGCTTTTCTGTCCCCCACTCGTTACCTGTATGAACGGCACCTGTTTGAACTCATCATCTGTATAAAAGACACCTGTCCACAGCCTCAAACAGTCAGACTCCAAACGCCGCCATGGCCAAGACCAAAGAGCTTTGGAAGGACACCAGGAAAAGTATTGTAGACCTGCACCAGACTGGGAAGAGTGAATCTACAATAGGCAAGCAGCTTGGTGTGAAAAAATCAACTGTGGGAGCAATCGTCAGAAAATGGAAGACATACAAGACCACTGATAATCTCCCTCGATCTGGGGCTCCACGCAAGATCTCATCCCGTGGGGTCAAAATGATCATGAGAACGGTGAGCAAAGATCCCAGAACCACACGGGGGGACCTGGTGAATGACCTGCAGAGAGCTGGGACCAAAGTAACAAAGGTCACCATCAGTAACACACTACAACGGCAGGGAATCAAATCCCGCAGTGCCAGACGTGTTCCGCTGCTGAAGCCAGTGCATGTCCAGGCCCGTCTGAAGTTTGCCAGAGAGCACATGGATGATACAGCAGAGGATTGGGAGAATGTCATGTGGTCAGATGAAACCAAAGTAGAACTTTTTGGTATAAACTCAACTCGTCGTGTTTGGAGGAAGAATACTGAGTTGCATCCCAAGAACACCATACCTACTGTGAAGCATGGGGGTGGAAACATCATGCTATGGGGCTGTTTTTCTGCCAAGGGGACAGGACGACTGATCCGTGTTAAGGACAGAATGAATGGGGCCATGTATCGTGAGGTTTTTGAGCCAAAACCTCCTTCCATCAGTGAGAACTTTGAAGATGAAACGAGGCTGGGTCTTCCAACATGACAATGATCCAAAACACACCGCCCGGGCAACAAAGGAGTGGCTCCGTAAGAAGCATTTGAAAGTCCTGGAGTGGCCTAGCCAGTCTCCAGACCTCAACCCCATAGAAAATCTGTGGCGGGAGTTGAAAGTCCGTGTTGCTCGGCGACAGCCCCAAAACATCACTGCTCTCGAGAAGATCTGCATGGAGGAATGGGCCAAAATACCAGCTACTGTGTGTGCAAACCTGGTAAAGACCTATAGTAAACGTTTGACCTCTGTTATTGCCAACAAAGGTTATGTTACAAAGTATTGAGTTGTATTTTTGTTATTGACCAAATACTTATTTTCCACCCTGATTTACGAATAAATTCTTTACAAATCCTACCATGTGAATTCATGGATTTTTTTTTTTCACATTCTGTCTCTCACAGTTGAAGTGTACCTCTGGTGCAAATTACTGACCTCTGTCATCATTTTAAGTGGGGGAACTTGCACAATCGGTGGCTGACTAAATACTTTTTTGCCCCACTGTATGCCTGGAACAGATGCTGAGCAAGCTGCCTTGATCACCTCCTCAGCATCCTTCAAAGTGTCCAGGAGGACTATGGAACACTTCAACCAATCACTTTGCCCGTTTCCGGGTTGGCAATGAAGGCTGCTCGCTTCCTGGCTCTCTCTCTCTCTCTCTCTTCCCCTCCTGTTCGTTTAAACCAATTACCACATATATTTATAAATTATATCTATACAGACACACATCAGTACAATACAATGCAGTTTATGGATGCAGCCTAATTACCAAGCTTGTTAGTCTTTTCTGACAACTTCTATGCTCCTGACACAATGAAACATGTTTGGGGTTCATACATTCATACATGGTGGCCTTATTTTACATCCTATCTAGTACAGCATCCTTTGAGATGTATTTAGGAGTGGGTCAAGACATGGATACAGAAATATACTGCTCAAAAAATGAAAGCAACACTAAGAAAACACATCAGATCTCGGGAAAAGAAAAAATTTCTGACAGTGGCGACTATCAAACGAAAAACAAGACAAAGAAGATGTTAACGTCAAATGGCTTTTTGTTTGTACTGTATCATAGTGACATCTCTATAATGTGCAATGCATCACAATAAAATATCACAATGATTGAAATGAACCCCTGAGGTGGATAATTCCCACCCCATCTTCTCCACACTGCCTACTGAGAACTTGCAACATCACTATGTTCTCCCTGTTGTCTCCAAGTTGCACAGGAGCATCACAGCACACAGGCTCCTGTGTCTGACAGAGAAACTCCATCTGTCAGAGGCCAGTGGACACGCTGTCATACAGAGTACACAGCAGGAACACTCTGGAATATTAGAACTGTGAACATTTGGCACTTTGTGTGCTCGTGTCTTGTTGGGAGCTTCATCATATTCCCTGCAGGAGCTGTGTAATGCAGTAACATACCGCTGCAGATGCATGTGGAAGATCAGGAACCTGGTCCCAGAGCTGCTCCTCCAGGCATGGCAGAGTAGCCTGGAGCGTGAATGCCCACAGGCTCTCCACAGCAAGCAGCTGCTGTCTGTTCCACCACGCTCCTGCAGGAAGCGTCGGCCTGTGAAGCAGATCATCCACACTGTGAACTGCTGCATTCTCCTCACATCGCTCCTCATGCATGCATCTCCATACAAACCATCACTAAACAAATACGACACAACTTTGACTCGAATGTTTCCACACACATTTGTTATTTTTCCATTTATTAATCAATCAATCTGTAGGAATTTTTAGTCAATCAGATTATTTCTGAAGCTGCTCTTTGATCTGGTGCACACTGCAAACGAAACAAAACAGATTTAATAACACAGCAAAGCTTCACATCAGCTGGTTTTTAATTAACTGCATTAAAAACACCTCACTGTAAATAGTTGTAAGTGTGCCTTTTTACTTTGTTTGTTTCCATTAGAAAGAAAATTCAATTAAAAATGTTGAATTTTTACTGGTTACCAAACTCCAGCCATCACATCAGACACTAAAAAAACCCCCAACAGACTAATAAAATACCAGAATTCCACTCAGCAAAACTAAAACATAAACAAGGACAACAAGTCATATTTTTTTCAGTGAAATAAATTTTCCCCAAAGGCAGCAGCGGTGAAATCGAGCAGACAGTCCGGTTTAATGATGCCTGGATGACATCAACACGCTCCGATGTCTCAGCCTCGAGCAGTTAAATGGATACGAGCTGTCACATGACATCCATAGACATCACAACCACGCCATGCAAAAATACCTTTTAACACAACCTTTTTGGAAGTATTGAGGCTCTTCAGGATGTGAGAGGACACTTAATGTGTCGCTGTTGTCTCTTTCTTGAATCGTGACCAATGATAATATACAAACTGATACTTAGTTATCTTTGTCTATGGAGCCACAGATGACAGCTGGTTAAACTACAGACACGTCCTAAACACCTATAATTTTCTTCTGTAAAACTGTACTATTGTTGTTATTGTTCTCTGCCCTGAAAGCCTCAGTGTCGAACCAGATAATCTGGATGACCTCCACTAACACTGACGTTTTCTAAAGCAGTTTTTGAGCAGGAAATGTGCTTCACGCAGGGCTGATATCTATCATCTTTGTGAAACGAGAAATATCCTGTCTGAGAATAATGCTACATTAGACGCAGAAACAGGGGCTAGAAAAACAGACGATTTTTCCCACCCTGGCTTCTCTTCTTTGTTTTCCTGTTAAATTCTGAATGTAATGTAAAATTCTCTCAGACTAAAAGTAGATCAGGGAGCAAAGCCTTCAGAGCCTCTCTCTACTTTTACGATTACACACAAACTTGCTTTCTTTGGATAAAGCTTGCAGCTCAGACGTGACCCTGAGCCAGCCCTTCTGCTGCAGGGCTCAGGGTGCGAGCATTCACTCGCACCCATACAAATGCAGGTAAATGGCCTGCATTTGTATAGCGCTTTTCTAGTCCCTAAGGACCCCAAAGCGCTTCACACTACATTCAGTCATCCACCCATTCCCACACAGTGATGGGATACATTGTAGCCACAGCTGCCCCAGGGCAGCTGTGGCTACACTGACAGAGGCACTGACAGAGGCGAGGCTGCCGGACACTGGCGCCACCGGGCCCTCTGACCACCACCAGTAGGCAAACATGGGGTTAGTATCTTGCCCAAGGATATTTGGCATGCAGCCAGGAGGCAGCCTGGGATCGAACCGACCTTCTGATTAGTGGCTGACCTGCTTTGCCACCTGAGCCACAGCCACCCCAATGTCAATAACTTCTGTCTTCTCTTATTTCTGTTTTGTCCTTGTCCCCCAACACATCCCCCTCCCTGCAAGCCTTGCTGTGGTTTCTTCCCATTAAAAGACAGACTCTTCCTCCCCATAAGGGCCCAGTGCTTGCTCAGAGGGGATTGCTGGGGTCTTCTCTTTAACATAGGGGGTGCAAACCTAGTCTCGGGTGCAGGGAGGTGCACATCACGTTACAGCAGAGTTTAAGCTCTGTGGTTATGAAATACTTTGATTTAACACAGAAGGAGAAATTTACATTTACTGTAAAAATCAAACAAAAGTAGATCGTTTTACTGACTGGAATTCTGTTGCCTGTTTGTTTAGTAAAACTCATTCATTTAACTTGGATCCCGACTAGTTCCGTTTAATTTGAGAGTGTTAGTAAAAGAAGGTTTGAGTGGAGCCTGCTGTCGTTACAGTAACAGATCTCAGTCCTGTTCTCCATGAGGACCGCTCAGTCATTGAAGTCTGATAACAGGTTGGCAGCATCATCAACACATATCTAAAGCCAAGCTATGGTACCGGAAATGCAAAAAGTCGGATCGGTGCATGGTTACTTCAAAGAGCTTTCATATATCATATATTTCTCATTATTATCATCTTATGTTTGACTCTCCTACAGGCCCAGGTTGTAGCTACATACAGTTTATTCCAGGCAGCAGGAACCGTTTCGACCATAAACAAAAATGTGCCTTTGTTGCTCTTTAATATGGAAGCCCGTTTCCGCCACTAAAAAAAAAAAAAAAAGCTAGTATCCATAACTCGAAATTTCGAGTTATTATCTCGAAATTTCGAGTTACTTAAGTCAAAATTTCGAGTTACTTTTCTCAAAATTTCGAGTTACTTTTCTCAAAATTTCGAGTTACTTTTCTCAAAATTTCGAGTTAGCTCTGCCAATCAAAAATATAATGAGGTCGCTTTCTTGTTACCCGGAAGCATATGGCGCAGGACCGCGCACTCAAAAACGGATCCCAACAAATTAAAGTATGTTTGCTGATAGTAACACCATGTGATTCAGCTAATAACACAGGGATTTCATCATTTGTGAAGCCAGGCTGAAAACACTCAGCAATCTGTGCATTCACGACTGGATGTAATACCAGTAGCTTAGCTGTAGCATTTGTAGCTGAGGGCTTCAGCTTCCGGGTAACATGGAAATGACGTAATTCACGTAGATTACTGATTGGCAGCGCTAACTCGAAATTTCGAGTTGCTTTTCTCAAAATTTTGAGTTAATATGTCGAAATTTCGAAATAATAACTCGAAATTTCGAGAAAATAACTCGAAATTTTGAGTTATGGATCCTTTTTTTTTTTTTTTTTTTAGTGGCGGAAACGGGCTTCCATACTTTAATGAGCAGAGTTCAGTGATTCGCGTTACTCGGCTTGCGTTGCTTCATTTATGGGAGGAGCTGAAAATGATGACGTCCGAAGCCTCGCTGCCCGGCTGTACCACGTGACTGGTTCAGGAAGTGGTTCAAACTTTGCCGCGAGCTATGACAGCGATATAAACCCCGCAGACTTCATTCAAAATGTGGGTGTTTGATGGAGAGTTGCGGTTAGTGAGAGTTTGGAGACAGTTTGGAGGTTTATGAGAGTGAGGAGAGAAAGTCAGGAGAGAATGGAGCCAGCTACGAAGAGGAGGATGTCCTCCCCTGTGTGGGAACATTTGATCTTATTCCTCCCAACAAGGTATGTAAATTTCTATAGAAGATGTATTTTCATAATACTGATGGTGCAATACAATTTATGTTAAGCTGTCTTTACTTTTGTACAAGGTGAAGTGTTTGCTATGTGCCAGGGAGCTGGGATATAACAACAACACCTCATCCATGCTTAGGCACTACAGAGCTTTGCATGAGAATAAGGGGAACACCGATTGTGGAGCAAGACCAGGTGAGCCATCAAATGCCATGATAATGTAGCATGCAGTAATGTTACTAAATGATATAACAATATTATACAACTGTAATAAGTTACGTGTGTGATATTTATATTTGTGCTTTGCTTTTATTGTCTTTCCTCAGGAGAACAATCTCAAATAGATGAAGACCTGGTTAGCATGGTGATTGAGGACTCCCAGCCATTTAGCATTGTGGAGGACAAAGGATTCAAAAGATTTGTTAAATCATTAAATCTCCCCACTAAAAAGTTCATAATCGAAAATTTAGTTTTTACAGAATAAAATGTGAACAGGCAGGACTGAGGCTCAAAGCCTCAGTGTGTAGCTGTCCATACCTCAACGTTACTAAAGCACAACCACTGTCCACACCCCAACCACACCTCACCTCACAGTAAATGATCATTTCCACTTTAAGCATTTCCAAATAATCATGTTCCATACTTCCAGTATAAATATACACAGTATACTGCATCACTACAATATACATGTTTTACACACTCCTTTTGTTGTTGACATTTACAGGCTGTGTGCAAAAATGCCACACTCTTCAAATTCATGCCAACTAATATTTTCACGTCCAGTAGGTGTCCTGCTAGAGCAAATGAAGCTTCAAGACGCTTTGCGCTGGGGTGAACCAATTGGATGAAAAGCTTCAGTGCTTCATGAAGCTTCATCTGCCCATCACTACCGTTAACGGCCCAGATTGTGTTTTCTCAACCTTTAAGGTAAAGTTGTCGGTGCAAACACACTCACCCACCGCTCTTTGCCGGGTTGTTGCTGGACGTTGTCGGGCTCCTCTTCGGTGCTCCCCCGGAAGCTTCGACCGTTGACTTCTTTCGCTTCAGTCTGGACTTCAAGTGATTTTCTTCCATATCTGCGTTTCACAACAACTCACAGCTCCCCGCCAGCTATTCTAACAACGACTTCCGTATCCAGCAACCTGACGTCACTCGAGTACATCCAATCAGCTACGTCTCCCACGAGAACTCGAACCAATAGAATTCTACAACGATAACGGAGCAGTCACGTGAAAATCCTGCACGAACTGATACAGAAGTGATATCAGGGCTCGTTCAAAGATTTCTTTTCTTCTTAGTGGATTTCACAGATTTATGAATTTTAATAATAATATTAAAATGTTCTACTTTGGCTTTACTTTAGATACTGAGAGAGGGAAAAATATGGATTTGAAGCTTCACTGACGCTGTGGCACTTACATCACTGGCCTCGGATTAAGTAGTCTTAACTATTTAGGGCTGGGCTAAGCTGGGACTTGTAGAACATGTGTGTTTTAAGTGGACTGGACCAGCATTCTGTTTTTACAAATATTAATGGCATAAAAAGAAAAGTTACAAAACTTAATGAGACAGGTAGTAATAGATATGTTGTTTAGAAGTACTCTGACTCAGTAAGACCCAGAGAAGAATAACATACATGTGAGATTTTTTGATTTTTCAGCACCTTCACACACCTTATGGAAAGTTATCCACATCCTCGCATACATCATTCTAACTGTGGAGACAGGGATGTGTGCAGAAACATGGGAGCTGTCATGGTTCTGGGGCTTTTGAGCTAGCATTTCGACTCATGCCTTTCATGCCTTTTTGTGTTACGATGTTCTGGTTTAGGCTTCAGTTAGTTCTGTTTCCTGTTTAGGTCTGTTTAGGTTCCTCCCAGGTCTGTGTCTTCTCCACTATGTTGGTTATGGTGTCGCACCTTCAGTGTTCGAGTCTGTCAGCTGTGTTCGACCTAGCTGTCACGTTCTCTGTATTTGTTCCCGTGTCTCATCACCCGTTTCTATTTCCCCATCACCATGTCAAGTCTGTGTGTTTCCTGTTTGACTTTGACAGTCTTGTGTCACATGTTCAGTTTGCTTCCGCCTGTCTTGTCATTATGTTCCAGGTTTCATGTTCAGGGCGTTTTCGTGTTTAATTTGAGGTTACTCAGTTTTTAGCCTTTGCCCTTTGTTTTGTGTTTTTTCTACCAGCCTTATTAAACGGCTCGCTTTCTGTTAAAACCAAGTTCTGTTCCACGCGTCTGCTTTTGGGTCCACACCTCAACTTCACACGATCTGCCTCTGCTAATCGTGACGGAAGCAAAGCACAAACTACAGGAAAGAAAATGGACAAATTTCATGGCATGACAGAAAAAAGACTCGTCCATGAATGGGGGGGCGAGCTCACTGAGGTGGTTAAACAACTCTTTGTTGGCAGGGCCCCTGGGGTGAATGAGATTCAGCCTTGGATGTTGTGGGGCTGTCCTAGTTGGCACACTTGTGCAATGTTGAATGGCGATCTGGGGCAGTGCCTTTGGATAGGCTGAAATGGAGGTTCCCATCTTTCATAAGGGGGTGCTCACATCACTCAGCTTCCCTGGTAAGGTTAATGGCAGGGTACTGAAGAGGAGAGTCTATCCATTTCATTGTTTACATGGAGAAGGCTTTAACCACTTGGGGAGAGTGGAATATCTGGTCCATTATTGCGTGCTCTTTAGTCCCTGTAAACCAGAGTGAGAGCCTGGGCTGCAGGCTTTACTGCAGCAGACTGGGTTTGTTTCCGGTGGGTACTAAACTTCACATAGGCTGGTGTGTGGTGGCCTCATAAAAAAGTGCTCTGTTGTGACTGTAAGACACAATGAGTTCTTTAAGATATAATAGTCTTTAAGGTATTTGTCAATAAACCAGCAGGAGCAGATCCACGCGGGTCAGTTCAATCAATCAATCAATCAAAATTTACTTATATAGCACATTTTTAAAGACCGAAGTACACCAAAGTGCTTTCCAGTAAAATCATGATATAGATAAAAATCACAATATAAAATATAAATTACAGATATAAATAAAATATAAAATAATTACATAATCTAAATGCAAAGCCAGATGTAAATTACCCTAATTCGCCTTGAATGCCAGGTTAAACAAATACGTTTTTAAACGTGATTTAAAAGACTGAATGGAATCTGATGCGCGAATATGAAGAGGAAGAGTATTCCATAACCTGGGTGCAGCAACGGCAAAGGCACGGTCTCCTCTGGTCTTCAGCCGAGACCTAGGTTGCACTAAGAGCAGTTGGCCCGATGATCTTAGTGCTCTCTGAGGGCTATACAGACAGAGGAGATCAGCTAGGTAGTCAGGTGCCATATTGTTTTGAATTTTATAAGTAAACAATAAAATTTTAAAATCAATTCGGTATTTAATAGGAAGCCAGTGTAAATTTGCCAGAACAGGGGTGATAGAATCGTACTTTCTAGTGCCGGTCAAGAGACGTGCTGCGGCATTTTGGACCAGCTGCAAACGCTGAAGAAGAGAAGATTGTAGGCCCAAGTAGAGAGAATTACAATAATCCAGTCTTGAAGTGATGAAAGCATGAATGAGTTTCTCCAGATCTCTGTGTGGTATGTAAGGTTTAGCCTTAGAAATTAGGCGTAGTTGGTGAAAACTGGTTTTTACCACAGTAGAGACCTGTTTATCTAGTTTGAAGGAACTATCCATGAAAACTCCAAGATTCCTAGCAGCATCAGTGAGGTGGTTAGCAACAGGCCCGAATGTGCCAGTCAGTTGTCCCAGAGGCATATTTCTATCAAAAACAATAATTTCTGTCTTCTTTTCATTTAAAGTAAGAAAGTTACGTGATAACCAGTCTTTGACATCGCTCAGACAATCAAACAGAGGATGTAGTGAAGATGAAGCATCCCCAGTCAGGTGGAGGTAAATTTGAATATCATCAGCATAACAATGAAAAGAGACATTATGTTTTTCAAAAATGGAGCCCAAGGGCAGCATATACAGAGAAAACAACACAGGACCCAGTACCGAGCCCTGGGGCACACCACAGCGAAAACGGGCATAAGAAGAGGAATATTTTCCCATCATGACAGAGAACGACCTCTCAGAGAAATATGATTTAAACCAAGATAGAACATTTCCTTTAAGGTCAGTTGGCATTGTTGTCCTTAATGCAGCTGGCAGAAGGTCAGCTCTGTTAATCTGTGCTTATTAAAAACGAACACTGGAAATGACAAGTGAACTTGATAAAAATCAAAGGGATCTTTGGATTTTTACAGCTTGAACAAAATGAACCGTTCAGATTATGTGAGCCTATAATAACCTATTCTATGTCTTCACTTCATGGTCATACGGTCAGGACGCAGAAGGCAGGCAGTGAAGGAAACCCAGAACAGTGGTCGGCCCCTATATGGCTTCATACCTCACCTGTTTACACTCATCCTGTTTTTGCACTGTCGTGTCCAGAGGTGGCTGTTGCTTCAGCTGTCAGATCTGTTGTCTCCATCATGTCCGTTTGGAAAAAGCTGCACCTGTACTTGCAATCTATTATTAGTCGTCAGTAAGACTGCAAGACTCCACTAGTCATAGTAAGGACATGCCCAGCTCTGTGCTACACTTTGTCTGTTTTTGAACTGATATTATAAAATAAGCTTAAACAGCAGCGCTTAGGAAGGAAAATCCTCGTTTCACAAAATGTTTGTAAGCTTTAACAATCCAGGCAAACTGTGTGATGTGATTATGACCTGATGTGACTTAAAGCATCGATCAAATGGAAAAGCAGCCTTTGAATGCATGACCTAATCACCAACACTTAATACACTAACAATATTGTGTCAGTCTTGCTCAAGGATTCATTCAGTGCAAGATTACATCATAAGAAATGTTACTGTAATCATGAGACTTTGTTCCTTTGCTAGGACACACATAAAGTGGAAACTTGAAGTGGTGGGACTTTCTGAGCCTTTTATGCTTTTGGCCAGAGGACAGGGACCAACGGAGAGCGGCAACAATTATGCAATGGAAAAAGACGAGGCAAAGCTGGACTGAATGAAAGGAAAAGCAAAGAAAGGAAAGAAGACAGCATTATTCAAAATAATGGAAAACAGAACTATGTGAAAACTTGCTACTTTAAAATAAGATGAGAGCTTTTTTTGAACTGGTTCCCTGTAAGATGAGTATTGCAGAAAGACTTCACGATGGTTTTTTCTACCTCAGCCACAGAGGGGGAACACACAAAGCAGGGCTGTGGGCCAGGACTGTGGTACATAGAAGTAACCCGGCGCCTGGAAAGAAACATTATGTCACTCCTCACACATGATGCTGTGTTGTGCTCGGCTTCCATAGAGACGATGAGGAAGCCTCAGCAGCAGCACCAATAGTTTGGAAGGATACACCGCCAGCAGTTTTCCTATCGCTCCACAACTAACTATTCACAGCTTCTGATCGATTGTAGCCAATTGTAACAATTCCTCTATTATCCTCATTTGCAGCTCACTCTTTTTTTCCCTGGGACTTCACAACAACAGCTTTGGAGTCACAGTTTAACAAAAAAACTCAATCTGCCAACTTCTGGACAACTGCTAAGAGGCAGCCCCAGGGACAGCGCAGAGTGTACACTATGACTATGAACATTTCTATCTAAAAAGACACTGTTAGTATGTTTGATCAATAGTGTGCTGCGTACATGCTTTCCCCCTGCTGAATGTGAGGAAGAGTTGCTCACTGGAGTCTTTGGGTTAGCTGTTCCACATCTAGGAATACTTCTTGTTCGATTGGGGGATCTCATGTGAGAGTTTGCCCAAGTACTTGAGGACTTGAAGAAGCGTATCACTGCATCCATCAGACTCTCTTATGGGGATCCTTTGGGAGTGCTTAGTAAGGGCTTGGTTCACATTGGCAGCAGTGAGTTAGATTTGTTGCCACTGAGCCAGCCTAGTGTCTGTAATTTATCATATGAATACAAGTTCTTGGCTTAGCTAAGAGTATATCCAGTTCTGGCTACTTGGGCTTGCGTTTAGCAGATGATGTGGTCCTGTTGGCTTCACTGAGTAGTGAACCCCAGGTTCCACAGGGGCAGAGTCACACTACTACATGTCAAACTAGGGTTCATCGCTAGGAAAGACTGGATT